AAACTGCAAACATTACTACTCTGCAGTAAATAAAACTACTTGTTTTTAATTTCTGTTTTTGAATTTTTAGGAGGCTGAGCTGTGTCAGCTCACCTATATAGACTATGTGGCTCTTTCTGTGGGTGGTTTATCTTCCCAGTCCTTCTTCCCCAGGCATTTGAACAATGACTCTTTAATTATAATGGTGCCTAGCCTATGCACTTAAGTTCCTAGAAAGTGGAGAAAGGAATTCTTACAAATACAATTATCTTCTAAACTCTAGTATTAGAGACAAAAAAGAAAAATAAAAAAGCCCCTGCAGGTAGTGTAGATGGAAGAGTGAAAAAAAATTTTTTCCCCTAGAGATATAAGCAGTTTAGCTTATGTCTACATTTCAGGGTTACCATACAGCAGATTGACTTAAAGCAAACTTTATTTCACCTTTAACAACCTAGGAACTATGGAGAATATAGATGGTTAGAGGCAGAAACTGCAGTGAGGGAAGGTGGTAAGGAGTGAGGTAAAAGTTTTTAGCTGTCAAATGGATGGTATTATCAAAACCAGAGATTGCCTTATGAGGTTTTAAAAAACAACTATTACTGTGTGTAGTTTTCAAGCTTAAGCAACATGATCCAGCAGTATAATAACAAGCCTGTTAACATGGCATTCTATTAAGCTTTATTTTGCTTCCATATTCACATCTCTTGTTTCATTTAAGTTTTAATTGATGTTTTGACCATGTGTTTGACCCTGAGGAGATTTTGTGAAGGCCTTCATTTTTCAAATAAATTAAGAAGTGATGTATTTAATATATACTAAGCAAAAATATCCACCTTAACATAACCAGAAATGAGATCTTGGTGCAATAAAACTTGATTTAAAACTTCCTACCCATTGACACCATAAACCAAAAATATTATCTTAGAGACTTGGGGAAAGGATGTCAGTTTGGGAAGAGCCAATGAAAGAACTTAATTCTCAGACCCAGGTGTTGCCTGAACAGGGGGAGGGAGAACACTGAGGCAAACGTGAAGTGGGCAACATTTTTATGTAAGTTCACTAGAAACAGCATGTGAATGAACAAGTCTCTCAGTGACCATTCCCAGAGCAGTTGTTTTGTTTTTCTTAGTCAACTCAACACAAGAGCTAGTTCAACACGAAAATGAAATAGAGGAAAGAGACAGAGATCATATTTTTATGATCATATGTTCTTTGATTTTTAAAATGTCTAAGCTCCCTGAAATTTTTCTCTCACTGGAGAAAATTAAGCTCTCCTGTCTCAGAGATAGGAGTGTGACCATCCTATTGATTCAGGCATTGGAACCTGCATGACGGTGAGGAGCTGTGGGCTCCACAGGCTGGCTCACTGATTAAGCCTGGCCTCTTTCACAAGAGCCAGGCAAAGGCATCCCATTGTAAGTTTCACTTAAGACACAGGAAGCTGTTTATGACAGCTACTTCTCTACTGGTATGAGGTGAGTAAAAGTAAGTGCTCATTACTTTTCATGTTGCCACTCATGTAACCCTGTAAGAATTTTCTATGGGCTGGTAAATTTTAGTTCTGAACTATGAGGCTATTTTGCAACCAGGGAATCAAAATGGCAATTCTTATACTAATGCTTAAATCAATATTTCATGCTTACAGTTCTGTCTCCGAGATATTCAAATGGAAGTAGGCATTACACCAAGGACAGAGGAAAAGACATAATTTACTAGAAAAGAATGGGAAAAGAACAACACTGTCCTTTTAGGTGATGCTTTTAAAATGAGATATTTAGGCAAAATCTACCAGAACAATGGCTTAATTGACAAGGAAAGATAGCTTCTTCCATGCCTCTGTTTATACTTACTATTGTTTCAGCCCATGGTGTTTTGTTTACTTTGGAAGAAAATATTTTACCCCCTCTGAGATAATTAATTTTTGTCAGCTTCACTGTTTTTAAGGGAAACTGAGAAACTGTTAATTGAAATACAGAATGAGTCACTGTTTTCAGCAATTTTTGGCAGCATTCTAATTTGTGTCAATCTCAGCCTAATTATTGGATTTTTTGGAAGTAGAAAGCATATTTGATTTTTCTCCTACTGAAGTTTTTCTTCCTTTTTTGTAAAAAAAAATATGTGCTGCTTGACGAAGGTTATATAATTTATATCAACATGAGGTGAAATACCAGTACACTTGAAATACCAGGAGGTTTATTGTGTCATGCCTGGCTCCTCACAGTAGCTAAATATTTAGAAAGCTCACAGAATGTGATCTTCTTCCTTTCCTCATTTCTACCCCCCACCCCAAAAATATTTCTTTTAAAGACCTTTTAGCGGGTATTAAGCCACAGTATATGGCCCTTCACTAATGACACCACTGAAGTAAACTTCCCAGAAGTAATCAGGAAGAATTCATTTGGAAATCCAATTGGATGTCACTTGCAAAGGTCAGGCTCCTAGAAGAGGTGACCAGTCATGCATCCCTGAGTTATTTGTTGTAAAAGCATTAATCACCGTGAACTCATTTTCCCCTAATGCAAACATACTACATTGTTACACAGGAATTCCGTTCCAAATGATCATTAATGTAGAGAGCGGAAGCTGCTGACTGTGGACAGGGTTAATAAAATCTGCCAGATCAATGGCCAGTGTAATGGGACCATTAATAGTTGCAAATAGAAGTTGGATCTTTCCTGGCTGTGGCAGGCTGAAGGCGGGTGGAGAGACAGTGGCTTTGCTGGGCAGGCAGCCCCATCTCTTACATCCTGAGGTGGCCTCTGGGTGGAAAGAGCATCCATGTCAGTCTCAGAGCAGTGCCAGGGCTCTGAGGTGGCTGTGGCTGGAAGCTTAGGCACCAGTTGTGGGCAGAGGAGGGAGGTGTGGGGTGACCGTGGGGACAGCTCTGGACATACCCCAGCTGCTTGTACACCACATCCCTCTGCAGACTATGGGCCAGGGCTCGTCTGAGCACCAGGTGCTGTACATGTCCCAAAACTTTGCCTCGCCTGCTCCGTATTGAGTCAGCAATGAGATGAAGAACAGTATCACAATAGGAGTGACAATCACAGCTACTGCTCACTAGAAGTCTCCTGGACCAAGGAGCAGCCCTTTATACACACTTATCTCAACCTTCAGAGCAGCACCCCTAAAACATGTGTGTGATTTATTTCATAACTGAGGAAGCTGAAGCTCTCAGACAGATACGGAAGCTAGCCCAAGGCCAGATTAAAAAGTGTGTGCCCTTAAAACACCTTTAATAAACGTTCCTTTATTGGAGAGAGGGACACAGAAGCTGTAGCCTAAAATCAGACCCCAAAAATATGCCAGGTATGACAGTGGATCAGAGGTATTTCTATTTGCATATTCAACCAGTCAGTGTATTCAGGACCAACCTTGAACAAAGTATATAAAAGGCATGGTTTGTCTAAAATCTTACCTCTCTTTGTTTGCTACTAAAATGTTGGTACCCAGGGCGTTTAAGAAGACTAAGTGCTCTGTGCTGCTCAACAGCATCTTTGACAAGGTTCCTCGGGGAAGCCCAGTAATACCCCGTACTTAAGACTTGCTCTTTCTCATCTCACCGTTGCCCCGTCAATACGTGTCTCATTTCCCATCATCTAAGGGTCTTGCTCTGCTGACTGACTGTACCTTAGCTAAGTCAGGTAAGGCCAGAGGAAGCTACTGCCTCCTGGGGCTGCCCCCAAGCACAAGCATGGTAGGACTGGCAGCAAGAGCCATCCAGAGCCAGTGCCCAGGTTTCCAGCAGCATAGCTGGGCATGGGAGCATGGTGATAAGGGCACTGTGATGTTCCTAAGTGCCCAGTGACCCCTGTACCCAAGGTGCTGACATAGCTGCCTCGGGGCTCAGGAATGGGAATGGAATGGAGCTTGCAGGTAAAGGTTATGGATGTAAGAGAAATGAAAGAGGAATGACAGATGTAAATATAAAAACTGTGAAATACTAACATTATTTGGTGCTCCCAATGAGAGCAGAGTATGGCAGAAGGGCAAATTTAGTGTGTTTAATAAATGAAAGGACATTTCACATAAACTCAAGTCACCTACCTTTCTTAGATCTGTCCCCATGACTAAGAGGGGAGCATGCTTAGTAGTCTTTTCACCTGAAAATGCCACTGTTACTAAAAGCTTATTTCTTTGATTACATTTATTTTTTTAAAGTAGTGTTAAGGGTTTGAAAGATGTGAGAAAGAAGATGGTTGTGAAGGAGAAGGTGAAGCATGGAAGGAGTGGAGAGGACATAGAGGGTTTGGGAGGGAGACTCTCACACGCCCTGCAGCACCTACCTCCCATCAGTAAGGGCCGAGTGCAACAGAAATGCAGAGCTGGGCTGAGACATGTTCTCTGGCCCCCAAGATCTTACGAGTACACATCGTAAGTGCTTGACTGCATGGCACAGGCTATAAATTCAGTCAAACTGAGTAAGAGACATTAGCAAGAGGAAAATTCAGAGACAGCATCATGGAAGATTGCGTAAGTTGTGAAGAACATGGACAATGTGAATGCTGGGAGAGAAAACACATTTCGCACAGTTGAGGCATGAACAGTTGTCTGAAGGTGAGAACAAGCATACTGGGTACAAAGAAGGATGAAGGAAACAGCTTTGTTGCAGTGGAGGAGGGCGTGTGTGCATGTGCACACATGTGTACATGAGTGTGCATGCACATGTGTGTATGCATGTGTGTATGCATGTGTGTTAAGAGAGGGAAACAGCAGGCAATAAGCAGACCAAGAAAGGGTGACAGCATTTTCCAAAGAAACTTGGTAGCCAGACAAAGGAGTTTGGAGAGCCACTGTAGGTCCTTGGACATTTGCAGAGTATGCTCTCAGACAAGTTGGTTTTTTTATTTTGTTTTGTTTTGGGTTTTTTTTTTTTTTGCACTGTGAGCAGGATTCAGACAAGTTTTGGAAAATTCAATGTGGTAGTTGTGGAAGAAGGTAAAGTGGAGGGGAAGAGAGAATGAGAAACACTAGGAAGTCAAGGCATCCTGACATGTGATTTGTCATCTTTTCTCCTCCAGCACACATTCATATTCCCCTTTGCACTGGCTGAAATCTTCCTCAGTCCACACTCCTATCTACCGAAGAAGAAAGGACTCAGCTTGTTGGCTGCTGTTTCCCTTGCTTACATTAGCAGGTAAGAATTGCTGAGAGAAAATCAACTTAGAATCATTGTTCAAGTAAGTCTCTGAGGAATATTCCAGAAACATACTGTTCTGTAAGAGTGCCTTCATATTGAGTTAATGGGGATTTTAGTCATCTTTAAATTTTCAAATAAGAAAGATTTTTATTGTTTGCTTTTGATACTCATGGAAACATCACAAGCCAAAAAATACACAGATGTGCACGCACACACACACACACAGCAAGGCACGAGTTTCTCATGAAGAATTCATCGTGGCAAAGCTACACATTATTTTCCCCAAGAAAATGTTGATATTTGGTTCCATTTCCAATTAGGTATTTGAACAGCTGAATGATCCAAGGCATCTAAATATATTTCTTTCAAAAAGGCATTTGGCAGGTTGGACATGCTAGGTTTGGTCCATTTCTGTTGCCTATATCATTATGGGTTTATTTGCATCAACATCTGGCACTGGAGCCCCTAGAGGGCTTTTGGGCAATTGTCCAGTGGCCGGCAGAACAGCCTAGTAAGGGGCGTGCAAGATCATTTTAGCAGTTGGTCTAGATTTTATCATTCAACCACCTGGTGATACTAATTCTCAGAAATACTGCCCAGTGAGTGGAAAACCCTTTTCCATTCTACAGACTTCTCATTTATTCCATGTTTTTGCTTAACTGAAAAGGGCATGCCAAGCATGATGCCGGCAGATCAGACGCTAATCATGATACTCCTTCTCTAGTCTAGATCCCCATAAACTGTTCATATCTGGTAATCTCCCGATCCCTATGTGGGGGAGTGAGTTTAATTGGGCACAGTACTCTGACAAAGCCAGATAGAGAACACACTCCAAAGGGGCTTGGGCTCCCAGTGCTCGCTTCATGGGCTCCATGAGCCTTTGTCTTAGAACAAGTGACCTTAGGGCCAGAACTCAGATGATAGTTTCTTTCTAGTCTTTCTTTCCTTTGTGGAAAGCCTTCTCCTTCCACCAGTCTGTGGCCCCTCTTTCCCTGAGTGCCCAAAGTCTTTCTTGCTCCTCTTATTTCAAAGAAAGTATTGCTTAGTAAATCTTCCCCAATATCTCAGTGATCAGTGTAGGCTGTTCCCCAGCCTGGGGCCTTTGCATTTTAACAAATGTCATTTTAGAGAATAAGGCATACATTGGTGACCTACCGGTAATTGATGTCTGGAGCACTGTGTTGGAAAGGATTCTGAGGTCCTACCAAAACAGAGTTGTGTTATCATTTAGCAATATCTTCCAATAGCATGAACATGGAGAGTGGCAGGATATGTGCCACAGATTTGATAAATCTGGCTTAACCCAAAGGAATAAGTTTCTAAAGACAGAATACCTGGGATGGGGTAAGAGTTGTATGTGTTGAGGAGAAGGAGGGCAGTAGCTGGTTGATTATGTACATGAATTTCCATAATCTGATTTTCCAGTGAACTTTAATCTTATTTACTCTTATTTATTTGCCAAGCGTAACTTTTGGAGTTCATATATAAGATAGATAGTACTTTTGATCTGTTATCTTTTTCTACCTAAAATCTTGGAAATTTATTATTGATCTTCAAATCTGATCTTTGCTCTTTTCCTCCTCAGTAACCAAGAAGGCACAAGAACACCTAAGTCCACTGGTATTTGGGGGGGAAATGCAGTGGGCCTAAAAGATGAGAAACAGTGGTCGAGAAGGCTTGACTTGTCAGTGCCTGATCGTGTGTTCTGACAATGCAGAGAACTGAGTGGTTGGGGAGAAGAAGTGCAACAAGATGGGGTCAGGTGTGAGTACATCGTATGTCCATTCAATTACTCACCAGTTCCAGGCACTTTGCTAAGATACCGAGGATACAGCAATGTACACAGTACCATGCTGCCTTTCAGGACTGTCTAGGAGAGAGAAAAATGTACACACTCTGGGAAGACAGGATGATGAGACTGTAAAAAGGGTAAATACAGGGTGCTGTGGACTCCTGAGGACTGGCTTCTTAAGGAAGTAATGTCTAAGCCGAGACCCAAAGAATGAGTAAGGGTAAGTCAAGCAGACATGGAAAATAACTTCAGGCTTAGGGATCAGCATCTGTGAAGGGCTGGAGAAGCTGAGAGTATGGCTGAATTATGGGACAGGGAAAACCTAGATCATGAATTCACATTAATGGGTCTGGACTTTTAAAAGAGATTTTTCTATGCAAAAATTTTAAGCAGAGGAATGAAATGATGTGGCTTATGTAAAAAAGATGATTAAAAAAGTTGATTTTGGCTGCAGTGTGGAAGTTAAAAGGACAAGGAGACCAGTGGTGGCATTAGTGAGGCTTGATGTTAGTCCACTGATGGCAATATCAATTGATATCAAATAGAATTATAGAAGGTGAGTGGGAGAAGGAGACCTAGAGATCATCTAGCATTGGAGACCTGAAACCTCAGTGGGTTAAATGACATGCCCAAAGTCATGTGGCCAGGGAAAATCAAGGCTGGAACTTAAATGCAAGTCTATTTCCAAATCCAGTTCTCTTTCTACTCTATTCACATGGCCATGTATTTTTTCAGTTCACTGCATGTGCAAAACATATTCTGCTAAGTGCTGGAGGAGTTGGGTATGAAAAAAAGCTTAACAGCGTCCCTACTGTCTAAAAGCTTTCATGCTGTTGTTTCCAGAGCTGTGCTTGTGATGTTAAAGTGATGTAATGGAGCAAGTGGAAGGAAGCACCAGGAGAAATGTGACTGGGTGGACCTCCTTATCATTAATGAAATAGTAAATCACAGTTTGGTCCATCAGGTGCTATTATTTCTAGAATAAATCAAATATACCTGTTTTTGGGCATGTTATGCTGCACCATTGACTGAAGCTTCCCTACCTCTGTCCATTCCCTGGCTAGGGGAACTCCGACTCTGCTGTCTGCTGTCTCTGCCTTTATGCAATGCTCTGGGGCCCATGAGCCCTCCTGGCCACAGATGGCCATCAACGAGCTCCACAAACTGTGCATATCCATGGAGATGTTTTAAGGAAGTGGCTGTGGATCAGCTGTTAGGCGTGCCTATTTGGATGGTCAAATAGGGAAACGGTATAGCAGAAATGAGGTCAAGAATATGGGCCCAGGCCAGACAGAGCGTGAGAAACAAACACGAGTCGGAAAAATGGCAATAACTCTGAGCTAGGGAAGCATTTCACTGCAGAAATCACATCACGGTGACCTAAAAATAATTACTGAGACCACTGGGACTGCCTTACAAGTGGAACTTACTTTTTGTTATTTTTCATATTGCAAAATTGGAGGGCTGGCCCCTAAGTGGGAAAGTAAAGCTTCACAAAGTAGTTATAACTGCAAATCTTTCATTTCCTTTGGAAAGCATTAGTCACCTATAAATATGGTAGTTCACTGACTCCTCCCTTCTCTCTCACCTCAAAACACCTCAGCTAGTTCTCTCTGAGGCAGTGGTGAGGAGCAGAAAAATAGAAATGTTCCTACTCCTGGCTCTTATTCATTCTTTTATTGAACAAATATTTCCATTAACACAGGGTTGGTCTTGCTGGGAAAAGCATAGTTATATAAAGCCATCTCCCAGCCTGTAGAGGGCTTGAACTTAATAAGTGGAGATAAACCATGCATACAAATTAGGAGAATAAACAATGGGAAGTGAGACAATGTCAGAACAAATACAAGGAGCCATAGAAATATGGAGAAAGAAGTGATTATGTCTTGCTGGACAGTGTGGGAAAGGTGTACACTGAATCTGGGACCCGAAGGACTGGCTGGATTGGAGCTTTAAAAAATGGGAGAAATTGAACAACACAGCATAGCCCCTAGCCTAAGGGAGCACAGATCACATTAGAACAGTGGTTAGCAATTCACTTTAGCTGGACCTCTTAGTGAAAGAGACTGACATGAAATCACCCTTGAACTGCCCTCCTACAGAGGCTTGCAGATGGCAGGCTAGAGGCAGTTAGACATAGTTTAGACCATGTGAGATTTGATTGTTGCCGTTGTTTGTTTATTTCTATGACACAGAGGTGGGAGGGAGAAGTATTCGTAACATGGCCAGAGAATTATGTTTTCAAAAGTCTCACGTGACAAGAGTGCTTAAAATGGATTGGAATGGCAAGACATGAGAAGCAAAACAGAATAAAACAATATACAAATAATAGTTATCTAGAATATTCTTCTCATCTAGTTTAATCACATTGTCTTATTCTTCATCCATGGTTATTTTATAGTTCCAGTGTCATCCCTCATCTGCATGCTCAGAGCACCTTCTGCCTGTGTGCAGGTGGTCCATCCCCCCAAGACCTCCATGTCTACAGCATTCTAAGAATCTGATGAGTGCTCACACATGCCCATGTTGTACACAGTTCTCAAAACTGCTCTCCCACACAGACTGTAGAGCCACAATACCTAGTCTTCTGGGACCAACAGCTCCACTTGGCTCTGCTATAAGATTAGCATTCCATCCCCACTGCTAACAATGCCAACACTACCATTGTCTATTGCCCATTAGTCCCCTGTGTTGGTAGAAAAAGAACAATGTTGCTGGCCACTACAACAGCCCCAGCTAGCTTGAACTGTATCACCACCTTGCTCTGGATAGACTAGAAATTTGCTGATGCCATAGGTACCTCTGCTAGTGAAAAATTACATGCAAAGTGCAAGTGTTGCACAGATATGCAGCCATAACTCAGCCTTGGGAGAGATATTTTCAGAGTCACTTCTCAATAGCAGCCTGTATGAGGCAAGAGAGATGATTTCTTTCTTCTATACTATGCTTACTTGGCATAGCAAAGCTGCCAGGGCCCCCAGGTTTAACAGTCCTCTAAATTAATGCACCCATTTATACATACACACTTATACATACAGACATCATACCCCCAGACTCTAGAATACCTTAAAAGCTGCCAGAGGACTGTATTAAACTGAGTTCCAGGATCAGCCAGCCACCTTGCCATATCTAGCATCAACAATACCCTTCTACTTCCACTAGTGCATTGTGTGAATTCTCTCCCAGAACCACTGCTACCCTTTCC